GTTGGCTGGGGAGAAGTTCATTGAATACATTGGTGGTCATCAGTGGAGAAGGATCCCCTTAAATTAGTGGTCATCAGCGGAGAAGGATCCCCTTACTTAGATGGTTAATGCGAGAGAGAGATGTCCCTTGACATTGGTTGTCAGGGAAAACTGGCTCCCTTATATTTATAGTGAGTGGCTAAAGGACCCCTTTACAATGGTAGTCAGTGGGAGGAAGAATGCCCCCTTACATTTGTGGTCATTCGGAAGCATACCACTAATATGTCAGTTGTTAACTAAGAAAAGAATAGAGGCTCTAGTAGCTCAAGACCACTAACTATGCACAGTGACATTGGCCCTGAAACTTTGCAGCCACTATCGTGTGGAAAGTTAATCCACCACTGTTTAAAGTACCCCTAGAAACCTCTGGAGGAACCCTATTATCATTATTATTATTATACAGGATTTATATAGCGCCAATAGTTTGCACAGAGCTTTACAATATAAGGAAGACATTACAGTCACAACACTGGGGCTTACAACGCTGTGCTAGGGTGTAGGCCAAAATACATAATACATACTATACAAGAAATTGCATATTTTCCTTCAGATTTTGAAACAATGAACAATGCCAGTTCACCGCAGAGGTAACCATTGCCTACATTCCCTTAAAAATATTATTTTGTATGAACATTTTTCTGAGGGCTTAAATAATTGCTTGCATGCATGAATGAAACAAAGCAGGTAGACACACAGTTCAACGAAAAACCATTACAATACAGTTAGAATGAATGCATCTATGATTATATGCAAGCAATATATGATTTACTGTTTACTACATAACTAAAATAGTAATTAAAAAGTATAAATACATTTTCCCTATATATAGTGCCTTGAAGTCAAAGTACTGAATACACAACACAGCATTTTTTATGATGCAGCTTGGATTTTTTTTTCCCCAGTGATTTGCACTTCAATAACATAATAAAAGGTCTTTCAATTTACAGCTTTTGCAGGCATACAGTGCAATGCATAGTAATAGTTCACCTACCTACGGGGGAGATTCTTGCTGGCTTGCAGCAGTAGAGATACACCATGCTCCATACATTTTAATAAGACATATTGAGCACGCCATAAGTCAAAGTCGATAGTTAGGGTATTTTGGATAGTATTGTACTTGCGCCCAGCAGTACGGCGCCTTCTCCTGTTTGTGGTTACACACACTTCCCAACCCATGTACTGAGAGGCATGTAATCTCTAAGAATATTACGAATCTGCTTAGCATGACGTAGAATGACAGAGAAGATAAGAAGATAATATGGGTATTAATTTAAACCAATTAAAAAAAAGAAAAAATTAAACAACTGAACACTGACCAGCTATAGTAAAAAAAAGAATAGCAAGCACATTTGTAATAAGGGCTAGTGAGGGAATAGAATGTTATGTGCAGTAAATTCCAACTGCACAATTAATATTTATATGCTTTGGATATTACATAGCTCAGTGCAGCTATTCAGTTTAAAAAAGCTAAACCATTTAAAGAAAAAAAAAAAGTATTTTGTAGCCTGTACAGGAACAACTGCTTGGTATGGGTAATAAGCAAAGTTCTGATGTGCAGAGAGAAGTTATGTGCAAAGTGGAGCAAGGCACAGCAAGCAATCTGTCACCAGTGAAAGAAGTGCTGACTGGCTGCTTTGGATTATCTGTATTGAACACTGTCCACCGCACTACAGAAATAGCCAAATAGTCTAATTTGTCTTACATTTTTTCATATAATGTGCAATAATACTTCTTCCCAATTTTTCTTTTAATTAGAACAGGTTCACAGGCTGTATTAAATTACATTACAATTATCTGTTTCTGTGAGTTGTAGCTCCCTTGATGCTATTTATGTGTTAGCTTCTCCAAGGCTCTGCTGCAGGCTTCTCCTGTAAGTTGCAGGTAACTATTACCTGTACCTCGTAGGTAACTATTACCTGTACCTCACAGGTGGGCACTCTCACTCTCTCAGGTGTGCTGTTGTGACATACTGGAAAAAAAACATTTTAAATCATACTGTATCACTTCTGGTAATTAGCAATGATTGCAAATCCTTGTTACAGGTCTTCACAAATGTTTTCTAAATATTTCTGCAGAAGGGAGATTCCCAAAATGTTACCAAAACAATACCAGTAATGGACCATTTTCATTCATTTCCCCAGTCAAATAGCTGAAATATGCTTGGAAAAGCTGGCAGAGTAAACAAAGTCTTAAGGGCAGATAATATCCAGTCTAAACAAGCATTAATCATAATCTGATGACCAGTAGCTGCACACTGCTAGAAATGTCAACCCACCTCCTTCAAAAAGGTGACAACTCTGAGGCCTAGAGATTGGCCTCTCAAGCACTGCACTGCAGCAAGATGGTGGAGCGCCACGCTCCCCCACGCCTGGAAGTACCAGGATTTAGTGGAGATTAGATCATAGGAGCGGGAAGGAAAGTTAAAGCCCTACTGTGAACTGTTAAAACCTACCACCCCTCCCCGCAAAGCTCCACTAGTCTATTTGTGTTTACTATTTCCTTTTTTTAGAAGTCTTCAGGCTTCTGCTTCAACATACTATAAAAGGTGCATGATGACACCTATTCATTCATAATATGCCTGATTCCTCTGGGTTAAATAGATGTGGACAATATTTAATCCAGAAGACTGAGGACATCTTGAAGTGGAATAGAAATAGTATGTGTTAACATTGCTGAGTATTGCAGCCTGAGCTGCTTTTTTTTTTACCCTACCTGGGGACCATATTTTTTACAAAACAATTCCCGGAGCTGGCCTTTAAAAAGAACCTGAAATACCAGAATTTTTTTGAGTTTTTCTTAAAAAAAAAAAAACCACAGCGACAGCAGCATGGACTTACTTTAAAGATTCCGCTGAATGGAAAAGTATTCCATGAAAATAGTCATAAAAGAAACTACTTATCTTCTCCACTTGCTAGAACCTTCGATTACAGTTACAGTTAATAATTAATGGATTTTTGGACGCTATCCTGATGTTGTTTAAAATATGATAATCTTTCAAAGTTTAAAGGGAAAATAAAAAGTTGTCAGGTGTTTTCTGCTGTGCAAAGGATCCAGATCTGAAAAGAAAGCACTAACTAATGGCATTATAGCCACCAGCAAAAATATGTTCAGTCTAGTCTTGCTAGAAGGCCTGTTAAACGCTTCCCTGCCCAGCTGCACACTCAGTAATTTTGGATGCCAAATGCCAAAGATTTATGGGCAGCCATTAGTCAGTAACAATGGGACATACGAATACAGAGAAGAAATATGCATTCTTTATATTCATTTTTTTTTTTTACAAGAAAAGCGCCTAGGAATAGGAACTACCCATCAACCACATATTAAAATTAAAAAAAAACTAAAATGGCCTTAAAGAGGAACAACACAACAATAAATACAACGTAGGAATATCTGCGTATCTATGTTTTTGGCAGGAAAGCTCACATTGTGTTTTGGCTTACTATAAATCCAGAGGCCAAATTGTAACACTGAGATTGTAAAGCGTGTTCAGGGTCAAACTACTGCACTAAGGCACTAAACACTGTGTAATTTGAGGAATAGAAGAGCCACCCAAATTCCTCAGAGGTAACAACTTGAGCAGCTTCCACCCAGAATTGCCTTCAGAACCTTGCACTAGTTTACATTTACCTCTACTATACCTCCAGATAGACTATGAGCTGCATGTACCATCCTCCTATAGCTCACCACAATCATAACTTCTCAATCATATGTTTAGGAGTTATCTTATGTTGAACATATTCTTTGGCAAACAAAAAAGTACTAAACTTCAAAGCTTTTACAATGATTTCTCAAAATGAATCTCTCCAAAAAAACACTCTCCAGCTACATAACAATCAGAATCCAAACTATAAACAGTTATTTGGTTTTCACCTGCTCTCCTTGAAGGAGTTTGCATTCATATTCCCAAAATCAAAACCTACAGTATAACCATGCAGCCATTTCTGCTCCAATACTCAGTAGGTTAAGCAATTATTCCTTAAAAACACATGTCCTACACATTAACCAAAAGTGCTCAGTGGTTCAATCTGTGCCCTGTAGTGACGTAGAAGCGGATAGGAGGACCAACAGCGAGCAGTGGGTCACTAGAAAGTCAAAAGTCCTGGAAGTGTAAAATTTGGCCAGGTCTTCAGCTGGAGGTTCCAACACCGCTGCTGAGATTGGTAGCATGGACAGCAGGAGAGGGGAATAAAAGTCTTCTTTGAAGGGGCACGGTATTTTACACATTTATAAATATACCAATAAAGTTGTTTGAGTGGGGGGGGTATCAGTGAGCTTGGAGCGATGGCTACTTTTACAACACACACAGGGACCATGGGGAACAAAAGTAGCCACCCTCCAGAAGGAATGACAGTGTCAGCACCAATTCAGAAATGATTTGAGGATCTACAGCCGAGTGATACACAAATCTTTTAGTTGACGTGTATTTTTTTTTAAAACTGGGTTTGATTGATAATTTGGGTTTGATAAACAGTTGCCCGAATATAATGCAGCACAGAAAATTGCAACTGCCTTCATTTTATTCTATAGGATCTTTGCTTTCATGTTTTCAGAAAAGATATATTTGTGTGGGGGGGGGGGGGGGGGGGGGGAGTCTGACCACCACATTAAAGTATACTCTAGTCTGCTGCGACCAAACGTACATCTAGACCAGCATGTTCAACCTGCCTGCATGGAAGTGACCATGTTTAATCAAACGATTACCTCAAGGGAGAACTATACGAAGCATTCCAAAAAACTCCAAAATGGCTAATCACCTTTTTTACCCTAAAAACAGCAAGCTAAGGATAGAATGTTTTTTGGCAACCACAAACCAAAGGAACAGTTATTTAGTGTAACCAAAAAAGGGCATGACCAGTGGACATCTATAGTCATCATAGGAAAAGGAAGCTAGAACATAACATAAAAGTTGTATTTCAAAGCCCAGAAAACAAACAGCAAGAGCATATTCACAAATGACTTACAGTGCGTTACTCCGGCCAAAGTTTGATAGAAAGTTGGAGTGTCACTGTCATCGGTGAGCGTGACGAACACTCCACCAGAAAGCAACCACCGAGAAAACGTGAAGGCATCTTTGTTTTGCAGGAGCCAATTTCGAAATTTTTCATAGTTCACCTTTTCACCCTGAAAACAGATATTAAACATACATTCCGGTTATACAGTTACACACACTTGCAAAGCGGTCTTGCTACAAGACAAAAACAAAACCTGTAGAGAATTTCTAGCATAATCTCATCAAGCACATATTTCTATGGTAAAGTTTACATAAAAGTAAACCAGTCAACTTTAAAAGGAAAACTGCTACTGTGCCCATTTAAGGTAAAGTAACATGTTCTCTTAATAGTCCGCTTCCTCTGCTACTGACAGGTCCCCCATTATGGGAGATAACACCGGGCTCAGGACCTTCTTCCTATCTAACTGTGCTGAGGTCTGGAGACTGGTTGATCAGGAGCCATGCACTGCAGTGTAGGATAAAGATATAAGGGGTTATGTGCTCCCCCCGATCCCAAAGTACTAGACATTGCACAAGGCTCCAGCTGGTTAAAAAAAACAGGGAATATAGGGAAGGTAAGTATCTTCAATCAAAAGGGGCATGCTATCAAGTGAAATTTGTCCCACAAGAGCAAAGTGATCAGGTTTACTTTAACTAAGAACAGTCTTGGAAAAAAAACGCATTGTTTTAAAGACTATGTACATCCGAGGGATCCCTGAACTCCAGACCCAGACTTCCAGGATAACTACATAACAAAACTATAGCATTAAACTGAGACTTATGCTGACTTCTTTCAACTCTCAGGTACTGGAGCTTCAAGATATCCTCACCACAAGAATTCTCAATACTATCCACATGCAGCAGAGATTATAATACCAGATGATGATGTCATGCTCTCCACAATGGATTCCTTATATTGCCACAAAATTAAATAATAGGGAGACCAGCTGCAATTAACACTTACTACGCTTTTGGGTGAGGGTGTAAACAATAGTGACTGCAGGGAAAACTTACTGGAATCTACACATGCTATAAACTCATCAGGGTGCATGCTAGAACTCTGTAGAGAAACCACTGTTTCCACCAGACAGCAATGGTCCTTCTTTGCAGCATGCTGGCAGAGGACAGGCTTTTCTACTCAGGCTGTGGCTGGTTATGGAAAATTAACTGTAAGATTTAACACACCTTTAGTTCTAATGCATCTAAAATATATTTATCCAATTTAAACTGAACATTCAATAGTGCTTTAAGGGTTAGCCGTGTCCTTCACCATTATTCCAAAATCTTCATATTAGGGGCTATGTGTATATATAACCAAAAAATATATGACACATACAGATTTTTTTTATTCGCATAATATTACCACAGGCTTAATTAACAAAGTAAAGAAATTGATTAGCAATTATCTTTCTGACTTTATTTGATGCCCAGGTTTGAGCATAGCAATCGCAGTGCTTTTAGTAAACAGATAAAAAGTGACATTTGATTGGCTGATATAGGCTGCTGCACAACATGTAATGATGGAGTTATTAAATAAGCACAGATTTGCTCAATATTCTATCATTTAACATATTTCATATGAACTGTAACTGTTTTGCAGATGATTTCCGATAGCTCCTCTTGACAGTTCCATTATCCAACTGTAAATCAATTAGGTGACATTTTTCCAGCAATATTATTAAAAAAAATAAAAGGTCATGTCTGACAGAGTCAACTGGTAATTACAGAGCTCGGAGCTTTGGTTTTGAAATAAAGATTTTTATTCCTAAAGCATGCACAAAAACGATTTTTAAATAAATATTCATTTATCATGAAAATGTTTTGGAAAAAAATTGCAACACACACACACGTAACCATTATTGTGGAAACTTTTGAAAAATGTAGCTCTTTTAATGCATTTCAATTGAGATGTTCACATCTTGCACCTCAATGTCGCCTGTAGCTGAACTTAATCCTTTTGTCCCATCACACTCCTGACCGGAAAAAACAAAATTTAACTTGGTGGGTGCAGTAGTGACAACGGATGCCTCCACGAAATGTAAATAGATGGAAGTAGTCACTCGCACTCCATAAGTAGTAAAGTCAATACTGTTTATTGACTGTGATGCTATACATCTCCTAAGCAGCGTTTCGGGACCGTGCGGCCCCTTCCTCAGGCAAACAGAGGAAGTTTGACTTTACTACTTATGGAGTGCGAGTGACTACTTCCATCTCTGTAGCTGAAGCTTGTTGCTCGAACATGAGCTATTTTTCGACGGATTTCGAGCGATTTGGCCCCAACAGACTTTGATAGACTGTCAAAAGAAGATATACGTAGCGCGACAAAATGTGCACTGTAGCTCAATGTCCCTCAAAGTTGATCAGTTCAAATCAGCGCTGAAAAATAGCTGATTTTGTTGTAGCTCAGTGTGAATGGGATCATATTGTTACAACACAACATAAAAATGTAGTTCATTCTACACCAGGTGTTATTGCTTTCAAAGGCTATCTAACCATATATTGACATTTTTGTACATAAAAGCATACATCATTCCTGTTTGAATAGATATGATATTAAAATAGTATATTCCGCATTAAATTTGGGTGAAAACACACACACACGCGCACACACACACATACACATATATATATATCACAATAAATGTAATCACTTTTGTTAAGTAAATAAATATATCACTCTAAATTATACAAATCCCAAATTTTTCAAAAGCGTCCACAATTTTGGCTGTTTACATATTACACATACATATTCTAAGGTAACGCAAGAGCAATGGGCATGAACAACATGGAGCAACCCAAAAGCAAGCCACTTTTTCCTTTCATGAGTTAAGAGCCATCTTTATAATGAAAGATGTCTGCAGATTACCGACACATGATACCACAGTATCTATTTTTTTTAATCAAGCTAAAGTACACCTAAAAGCTCTTGCATGACAGTCTAAATAAGTACCACATCCAGATACTATGTGATGCACAACTCTCAAAGTAAACAAGAATCTTTCTTTACCTTCACTGACTGAGCCAAATCTTCCTTCATTTGTGTCTCACACACTCACTCTCCCAGACAGTGCAGCTCACAGTGGGAGGGTTTAAGCAACAGAGGTGGTACTGTCAATCCAAAAAACCAATGGGCAGCACTAGGTGTTGCTAGGTTCTGACTGTGGTCGCCAAAAATATTTATCTGGGTTTACCTAACCCTGAGACCAGTAAAAACATTGCTGTGTCTGGTCTCACATCTAACATTGCAGCACCAATACATGAAGAAAATAAAGAAAAAAAAAGTCATACTGGATTATGAGGCCGGACCATTGTTACTTCCTTTTCTAGACCTGCTTAGCTGTGCTATTTATTTCTTCCACACGTGCTCAGCAGGGCTATGTGGGAACCAATTAAAGTATTTATTTCTACAAAACAAATTTTGAAACTTCATTGAAGTAATATTGGTGATATGTTTAGATAGCGTGCATTGTGCTGCTTTTACGAAATCCTGTAAGGACAAGTTTTATCTTCCACAGCCAATGCTCCCATGCATTGCTGGAGGCTACCACTGCCTGTCTGCCAAAAATGTGAAAAAATAGAACAAAGGACTGTAGCAGACTTCAACAAAAACAACCACCACAAACAAAGGTCTTATAAACATTTACTATATATGGCTTCCCCAAAGTGTCTCTTTTTCTTATCTTCACCATACCCTTTTATCTGGTTTATGCACACAATACAAGATTTTAAAAAATTGTTTTAGCCATTATTAAAGCCTTTTCTTGGAGTTTATTGATGAACACAGGATTCAGAGACATTTGAGTTGTGCTTCTGCTTATTGAAGGATTTGAAACAAAAAAACAGTGACCAGTCTGGTATAAACACCTTCCACTCCACTTCAGCAAAATATGCATGTATTTGAAACTGGCATGGCTCTGTGAATGCAGAGACTACAAGAGGGGCTTGTTTTTTCTTTTAAATAAAGTACATTGTAGTCCATTCATACTTCCTCCCGTCCCTGTAATTGAAAGTCCATAATTCAGTATGGATAGGGACTGGGGGAAGAGTCTGCACCCATGATCCACTGATCGCAGTTTCAATGCTTTTCAGGCTCCAAAGAAAAAAAATTACATAGTTGTTACGGGTGAATAAAGACAGGTCCATCGAGTTCAACCTTTGGGTTGTGTGTGTTTGTTACTAAGATTACCTGTACCCCTGTATATCTTGTGTGCTGAGAAAAGTATCTAGATAGTTGTTGAATGATTCCATACTCTCAGCTGATACCACTGCCTGTGGAAGGGAGTTCCGCAATGTTTTCAGCTCTCACAGTAAAGAATCCCCTCCGCTGTTTAGGATGAAATCTTTTCTCTGCCAGTTTCAGGTAGTGGCCTCTTGTATTCTTGACTGAACTGACAGTAAAACGTTTATTACTGATTATCCCATCACCAGTAAACAATTTGTACATTAATATGCCCCCTCTCAGTCTCCTCTTTTCAAGAGTGAACAAGCTTAATGCTTGCAGTCGTTCCTCATAGGGGACCTAAACTAACCCCTTTATTAGCCTTGTCACCCTTCTCTGTACCAAAACTGAACCGCATACTCAAGATGTGGCTGGACCAGTGTTTTGTACACGGGCAGAATTATGGATTTGTCTTTACAGTACATTCCCTTTTTTATACATGATAGTACCCTACTCGTCCTATTTGCTGCAGCCTGGCATTGCATGCTGTTATTAAGGCAGATGTCCACTAGGACTCCCAAATCTTTTTCCACCTCTGATTTCCCCAGTGGAACGCCCACTATGAATGAGCAGCTCGCTTTCGTATTTTTAACTCCAAAATGCATAACCTTACGCTTCTCAATAGTAAACCTCATCTGCCATGTACATGTCCACCCCCTATTTTATCCAAATATTCCTGTAATATTTCTATGTTTTCTGTCGAGTTTACTACCGTACAAATTTTAGTATAGCAAAAATTGCAATAGCAAAAATTGTAATATTGCTATTGATAGGAGTCCCAAAATCATTGATAAACAGGTTGAACAGCAATGGCTCCAAGACAGAACACTGTCAACCAAGGACCACTTGAAAAATGAGCAATTATTGATACTCTCTGGACACGTTCACTTAGCAAGTTCTCTATCCAAGTACACACTTTCATCAATGCCCAAAGATTGAAGCTTGTAAATCAAACGTTTATGGAGGTACCTATAATCAATAAAAACATTTCTTCAGTTAATATCTGTGCATTTACGGATTTTTGGCAAAAAGTGAATTTTGTCTTTAATGTCTACAGTAGTGGCTATATTACCAGCATGTTGTTAGTTAAAAAAATATTACTGCCTTTATTTGTGTAGACTAGGCATGTCACATATTAAATGCAATGTTTCTGAACCTGCAAGGGGGGTCCCTTCATCAAGCAAAGCCTGATATGCCAGTTACAGTACCTAAATCTTTCTTTAGAGATATTATCTCACAGTATATTCTCTTCTTTTATCTGGATTATTACAAACTGTCCACTCTGCAAAGGCCTACGGGGGAGGCAGGTATGGCTTTGATGCAATTCTTATATTAATTGACTGGGCAACTGAAGAAGAGCATCCAGCACATGTTTTAAACACAAAACAGCCATCGATATACCTTGAAGGTACTAAATTATCCCCCACTAACCTCCGCTTCCCGATTTTAAAAATACCTAGGTCTCTTCGGGCTGAAATTAAAGAAAAATATCTCAATTTATAAAAATGTTTGTTAAATCCCCGAGGGGACCAATGCACCAGAGTCAAATCAGTGCAAGGGTTTAGAAATAAAACCACAGAGGGGAGGTACAGCCAGCACTAGAGCTCACGTCAAAACCCACTACCACCACTCTCCACCCCTCCATGTAATATTTTAGCCCTATGTCTCCTTTGCTCTCCTCTGAAGGCTTCATTGCAGTGAAGACAAAGACAAAGACTAAGCCCAAACCCAGCGGTCAGCTATTTCAGAGGAGAGAGAGTATAGTTGTAGCTGTCAACCTGTGTTATTGTGACTGAAGGCAGCTGCAAAGGTGCGAGAGAGAGAGAGAGAGAGGCAAACTCCAACAACTGTGTATGCTGGAAGTAGGAGGGGTTATACCGAGCTGCTGAATGAAAGCGGCTGTAAAGGTACGCCATCATTCACAAAAACCCAAGCCATCAACAACACGCCAGATACTACACCAACGCAAAAGAGAGGGGCAATCTCTCCAACAACTGTGCATGCTGGAAGAAGGAGGGGTTATACTGAGCTGGTCACTGTTATTTGTTTAGGAGTTTCCAAATTCTTCTGTATACCCAAATGTCTCTGAACCTTTGTATCCCTCAATAATTAAGAAAGAATACTCATTTGTTATGTTTACCAATCACTTGTTAATTTTGTAATGTATATATACATAAAATGAAAGCAGAAAAATCAGGGAGTTTGAAGCAAACAACCTTCCACCGGCAAACGCATGCATTTCTTTTTGGGCATATTTCCAGCCTTCTAATTTCTTGATTCAACTATTACTACATCATGTTTCTTTACAAAGCAGATAAAGCTCTGTCAAGGTGAAATGAACAATCAGTAAGAACAAAGAAAATGTAATTTAACAACTATTTACATTAAACAATTGAGCAAACTAGCTAAACAGTGGTATTGGCAGACATATTTAACAATGACAGCTAACACTCTGATATACACTGATCAAATAAACGATTGAAGTGAACCTTGAGAATTCATCTTTTTTACTACCCGAAATAGATAAACCAGGTAAAGCTGCAGCATGCTGATGTGGTCTAGTATAGCATGGTCCAGCAGTGAGCCTTTCAAGCTTAAAACATATAAATTATGAGGTGCTCCTTGCGTTATGACTTATAAAAGGAGAAAAGAAACTATTTGTTTTCTCAGAGTCCTGTTGTGGATCCTGGACCCAAAGGCTTTGTAGAACTTTGGGTGGGATTGAGCCTCCATTCAGACCTTTGGCTTTGCTTCTCTTTTGGGTCACAGGAGTACACTTACTAATGCCCACTATATGCTGACAGCACAGAGCCGTGCTGCAACCCGACAAGGATCCCGACAATATTGTCAGGATCCACCCGGCTGCCTGATTGACAGCTGGCTCTGCTTCTGTAAAGCCAGAGCCAGCTGTGCCTGTCCCCTCCCCGTTTATCCCTCCCAACACCTATTAATGGATTTTATTTTGTTACAACAGGGTCGCTTTGAAAAAAAGCAAAACACATGGATATGCCACGCTGCCTTCTTTACAGCATATCATTTTCTCCAAGGCCTCTTATACAGTATATTTAAAGCAAGACACTTTTTAACACCTCTCTCTGGGCAGGTTAATAACACCTGCTAGCTCCAGTTATACAAATGCAATCAACGCCTTACCTCCATGAGGTCTCCGACCCCATACTGGCTATGATTAACAGATTATGTTGATTGGAGCAACATTCACCATGTTTATTCCCAGAAAACACTTGCACATGCTGCAGTGAGAAAGCTGGTCGGATGCAAGTCCAGTTGCCTTTTTTTATATTTTTACAAATATACCATGACCTGGATGAATGGGAACCTTCACAGACATTTAAAGCAAGAGTTCTCACAGTTTTTTGTTGTTTTTTTGTTCACAATGACACACTTTTAAGATTAAAATGTCACTCATTAAAATGTTTTTTTTTTTGAGGTTTTCAAATTTAAACCAAATTGGTAAAATAAAAAAAAACAACCTGCGTTTCATATGAAATTCTGACTCGCAGGGCATAGGTCTCTTGACAGTGTTAAAAAGAAAATATGAATGCAAGATTTTAAAAACATACCTCAGCAAAACAGTTCTTAAGGGATAATGGGACTTCTCCATCCACAACGCTAAGCATGCTCTCCATATCCTCCCGTATAACATAGCTACCGGACTCATTTGAAAAGAGACTAAAAATATCTAAAAACAAAAAACAAAAAATTAATTATGAAAACATTGTTCAAAAGCATGCATACATAAATGACTATAATACATCCCTGCCAGAAATCTTCATAAAACCCTGTGTTTTACACATTTGCATTAGCAGCAGCAATAAGACCATTGTTCAACTGTCTGTTGCCTATATGTACTGTTATTATTGTGGCATATTTACACTTGTAGAGCATATTTATGTCTAAAAAAATATGCACTACCAGCTGAAATCTTACATTAACTCTTTAACTAGCACCTGATGGTTGCAGTTTTCATTGGTTTAATACTGTAATCGTCAGTTATACTTACAGTATTAAAAAAAGAATACATGTATTACATATTAGGGGGGAAGCAGACAACATGTATTCTTCTTTTACACTGTTGCTAATTTATCAGCCTAAAATGTAAAAAAAATGCAAATTAGTCATGGAGCTATTGTCAAGTAAACCAACGTGCTGATGCAGCCAAATTTGGCTTAGTCATCACTGACCTGGTCATGAAAGGGTTAAATACTTCACAGGCCACGGATAGGCATGCAGCAGATGAAAGTTGCACAAAAAACAGAATTTCATATCCCCATACCTTTTGGGGTGACAAACTACTGTAGCCAAAGCATAAGCAGCATGACAGCAAGACACCTTTCATTTTCAGGAGGAGTTCAGCAACAGTAGCCTATATACATCTTATGACAGACTTCCATTAAAAGGATGTTTTGTTACTTTGACATTTAATAGCATTACTTGTTCATAATTTCACTTTTTAGCTCAAAAAAATGACATTCCTGTGTCCCTCTACTAACTTTTCTTTGAAGAAAACCTGCACTGAGGAAATATGGAAGATGCCATTGCCTACATCACCTTCATTGCCTACATCACCTTCAGAAATTGCTGGCTGCCTGGCTATCATGCAGAATAATGGGTACTAATGAATGGGTAAGTAGTTTCTGAGCCACTTAGCCAGAACAATTATGTAGATTGGGAGTTCAGACCTCACTGGCTTTTCCGATCTGCATGCTTGCTCTAAGGCAGAGACTCAAAGCACTGGAGTCACTTGATACATATGAGAGCCAAGCAACTAGCGTTCTCAGACACACGAAAACCAACATAACCTTCCCATTTCTTTAACTACAGGTTCCTTTAATAGTGTAAATTGTGAGTGAAATGCCACATTTCTTGGTGTGATTGTGTGCAGTTAGGCCCTTATGAATTAAGCTTCTGTAAAAGATATAGCAAGCATAAAAATATAATTCCAAGCTTTGCATTGCATTGCCATTCATTGTACCACACACCAAGTGCGCTGTGCTATAGCGTGCACTAAATGCACAGTAATGTGCACTTAGTGCAATGTTCTGGTGTAAATGGGCCCTTCTACATCTAAATCACTGACCTGGATTTTTTATTTTTTTTATTGTAGTGATGATGGAAGAGTTGGACCAGTGTGTAAAGTCTTCTCCAGCACATCCCAAAGATTCTAAATGGGATTAAGGTCTGGACTCTCCAGGTGTGACAATGATGTCTCATCCTCCCTGAACCACTCTTTTACAATTAGAGCCCAATGAATCCTGGCATTGTCATCTTGGAATATGCCCATGCCAGCAGGAAAGAAAGATGAAGGAAAAACCTAGTCATTCAGTTTATATTAAGGTAGGAAGCTGCCCTAATTTTTTGAGCTCATAACATTGCTGAACCTAGACGGTAGGGACTAGGCATGATGGGTGCATTACTTCAGCCATCTCTCTTCTTACCCTAATGTGCCCATCACTCTGGAACAGGGTAATTTTGGACTCACCCAGTCTATTAGCCTCACTGATGAGTTGTTTTCTTAAGGCTACACAGCTGTTTTGTCCCAATCCCCCAAGTTCTCTTCGCATTGCGCATGTGGATATGCTTTTACTTTCACTATTAAAACATAGCCATGAGTCCTACTATTGATTTGTTTTGATTTGGTTTCACCAAATGAACTTTAATCACGATCATTTAAGATTTGTTTCCAACCACATTTCTTCCTCGAAGTTGATGTTTCACCACTTTCCTTCCAGGTTTATTAATGTGTTGGACAGTTCTTAACCCAGTTTTAGTAGTTTCAGCAAACTCCTTGTTTTCTTAGTTTGATGCTTACCAATAAGTTGACCCTTCTGAAACAGTTACATCTATTCCACGACCACAGGTTATGTCTTCTGACTTGGTTGTTTAAGAAATGAGAAGCTAGTCACTGCATCAGTTAGGGTTAAAAAAAAACCTTGTTGCCAGCTGAAACATATTAATCACTGCGGTAATTATCCAATGGAATGCTCTTACCTATCTGCTTAGCTAAATCCAGGTGGTGACTTTTTTTTGGCCAGGCAGTGTATTTTAAGGTCTGCTTTATGGGGAAGAAAAAATGCATGGTTTTGCTTCTGCAGAAGCTGTTGCTTTTTATGATAAATCACATGACTCATTCTAGATGGCTGTTGATAACAGATGACATGACCCCTACATAAAAATTCACAGCTGACATAGGGGTAATCAAACACAACAGATTGCTACAGTTTCATCACCACCGTGTGTGCTTATGATGAACAGGTGGCTTGATCCATACTTACATTTAGCCTTCTCTTCATCCCGACCTCTGGTGAGAAGAACAAGACCCACTATCAAGTTGTTGAAGTGTAACCCTTTTGAGGTTCCACCAAACGAGCAGTAGATTACCTAAAAGGGTACAAACAGAACTAAAATCAACTGAAGACAATGCAGAAAAAACACAAAAAAACTATAACATGCATTACATAAAAAGACTAAAAAGGTCCATTTATACTTTTTTTTTTTTTCACAGATTTACACAACTTTCACTAATGAGTCACACATTTTTCTAATAGGATTGCATTGGGAAATGTATTAATCCTCAGTGAAAGTTGTGTGGAAAAAAAAAAGAAACTTATAAAACAGAAACTTAAAACGGGTTTGTACAGTTCCGGACGTACAATTAAACCTTACAGAATGGTTTGTTTACTTATCTTCCTCAGCGTAACATTCTTCTATTTGTTTCACAAATGTACATTTACCTTTAATAATTAAACCATATAATAATCACATTGCCAAATCTTGCTCATTCAAATGCACCGTTGAGCTACAAAACAGATGATAACTATGAAGTGATTTTTAGAGCAACACATGATGTAACTTAAAAGGATTCTGCAGAATGCGAAGAGAGAAGTAGAATGAAATGACATGTTTCCTTATTCAAAGTAGCTACAACATAGGATTTTTGTCTTACCTGTAGAGTCCTTTTCTTGGAGCACATTAAAAGAACACAGGAGTATTCATGGACATAGGGGTTATGCAGCTACCTTCCACTTCTACTACTACTCTTGTAACAAGACATAGTAGAAGTGGACCACAAAAAGAGGGGAGGGACCAGTGTCCCTTAAAAGCTTTACTTTATTGACCATGTTTCATGTTACACCCAAATTTAGGGTTCAAAATGAAACATATACAGGTGAAACTCGAATAATTAGAATATCGTGCAAAAGTAATTGCAGTAAGTGCTGCAAAAGGGGCCCAAACCAAGTACTGAGTACATATGCATGCTTTTACTTTTCAGAGGTCCGATATTGTTCTATGCACAATCCTTGTTTTATTGATTGCATGTAATAATCTACTTTTTTGAGGTTGTGGATTTGGGGTTCTTGGGGTTTTCATGAGCTGTAAGCCATAATCATCACAATGATGACAAATCACGGCTTGAACTATCTTGCTTTGCATGTAATGAGTCTATCTCGTATATTAGTTTCCCCTTTTAAGTTGCATTAGTGAAATAAATGAACTTTGCAGCATATTCTAATTATTCGAGTTTCACCTGTAGACAGATCACAACCCCCCTCTGGTCCCACACTTACCTGAATTGTGGGTTCTTCTCCTCACAGGATTCTGTACATTTTAGATTTGGCGCGGTTGTGCGTGGCACCACCCACACAGCCATGGCATCCATATACATATCATTTTATAGTAGTTTCTCCATTCACAGATCCTAAGTTCTGTCAGCCACCGCACTAATGGCTACTAGAGAACAAGTAGTTCTCAATGATCTAAAAATGAAGTGGTGTCACGACATGTGTATTCCATTGAGAACTACTAGTCTCTGTGCCGCGGTAGCTGACAGGACCTGGTAGTTTCTCTATTCACATATCCTGTCAAATGACCTATGAATGGATGATGTAGCTGTGTGTGCAGAGCATGGTATGGACATAGAAGGGAAGAAAAGTCTACAGGAGGCAGAGCACTGCATTACACTGATTATGCTTGCAATGCTTTACTGGCTCCAATGTAAAAAAAAAGTAAATGCACATTTTTTCTTTTATAAAGAAGTGTGCATTTTTTTTCTTTTTCAAAACGGTGGAATTTTTCTTTAAATATATACTCCAAGAAAAGGATTTTATAGGCAAGACAAATCTCCTATTTTCTTAATCATACATTAAATGTCTGCTGAATCCTGGCAAAAAAACGCTTGGGAGAGGTAAAGTTCATTTCAGGATTAGGCAAATCAGTGTACAAAATAGGTTGGAAAAGTGAGTGTACAGATGCGGTTTTAACAACCTGAGAGCTTTCAAGGGAACTCAGGCTAGTAACCTTGGTATGGCCGTTGTACGCTGTTCCGGGCGACAACATTAATAAGGGGTAAAATGGTATGCTTAAGTTTTGGAGCAATGTCAGAAAACGGAGACTACTCATGTATTAGGTCATCAAACACAGATAAGGCACATTCCCCTTCATCCTCAGCTTACTGTGCAGAAGCAGCAATAGCCAGAGGGAACTCAGAGATGGACACTTAAGGTGGAGATGCACGCTTTCAGCCCCTGAGTCAACAAATATGGCTGAAATGTGTTGCCACTCAGGCAGGGGACAGTGGCCTGACCTATCGTTGTCAGGTGCATTAGATGGCACACTACAGGTGCCCCTGTGGACCTGCTAGTGGATCACATGCTGGCAAGGCCCTCACAACCACAGCCCTTGTGCTTATGATCCGCCAAATTAGGTGTGCAAGTGAGGAAATCACACAAGGGGTACTCACAACACCTCTGCAAGAGCAGGGAGGGCTAATGCAGTCTGTAACTCATCGCTGGAGGCAGCAGAAGTAAACCTCCCAGAGGATTTAGGTGCCAGTGTTGCTGAACAGATGGAAGAAGAAGCTGAGCAGTTCTGTGCACGCTGTGGAAATCGTGAGTGCATGCACAGTGTTACAACCAGGAAGAAGGCTTTGCAGACTCAGTAGGGGTACAGAAGCAGAAGCCTGGTGGCATCAAACTTGAAATAGTCTCCTCCTACCACCAGTATGTGATCGAAATTGTTGCAGCCGGTGTCAGACCCATAATGAAAATCTGGCGCAGCACAATGGCATCAAATTCAAAACAGGGCTGCACTTTCTACCATCACCAGCACGCAATCAAAATTGTAGCAGCATACTGTTAAAAAAAAATGTTGCAGCCAGTGTCAGGACCCTTAAGGGGTTCAACAACCAAATTAAAGCACACCTAGGGTCACCTAGGGCAGAGCTCTGGTCTTGACATACTTTGCAGTCCTCAAAACAGAAAGAATACCTCTGTTCCCCTGCAACACTAGCAGAAAATAAAGATATCCTGGAAGTAGGAGGGGTTATACTGGACTATCTTACAGCTCTGTTTGCCAGTGTCCAATCTTCTGAAGGCAGCTGCATAACTCCAAAGTAGCTGAATACTCCTGTGTCCCTTAGTGTACCATTAAAAGATAGCATTTACATATTCCGTGTATATTTTTACATTTGTTCTTGAGACCTATAATTAGAGGCCTGCATGGGCCTGTTCTGTGCTTGTACCAGCAACCTACTTTAGAAACTATAACCTGACTCAACTCCGAGTCTGTACCTGCAACTTAACCCCAAACCCAAAGCCATGTTATTAGAGAATGTAAAATTATAATACAGCTGTCATATTACATGACACTGCAACATATCAGAAAACTACAAGTTACAAAAGACCGTCGTGCTAGAAAGAGAGATGCAACTTAGAAGAAACAGACATACTAATAACTGGGGATGTGTTACATTAGAATTTTTCAAACTGTGAAGTTACAAAACATTGCTAAAGACTGTCATCTAGTTACAGCAGACTAATCACATTCTTAATTTGATTTGAAGTCATTTTTTATGTGATTGTGACATTTTATTTGCTTGCACTTCCATATTTTTATTAGACAAAGAGAGTTCTTTTAATTTTATTGCAATCACACCCAAACCTTTGTTTAACAGGTGTTGAAATAAGATATCAGTCAGATATCAGTGTATTTGCTTTCAAAAAAGTCAACCGATTCAAAGACTTGCATAGTAGGAACAGCAAAGCAGAACCAATATGTAGCCTTTCAAACCAGGAGCAGAGCCTGCATATGCAAGGTGCAAATATATCTCCATCCACATACTGTACATAATTAAACTATACATTTATTTTTATTAATATTAGCAAACTTTTGTGCCAAGAATCTTTTATCGATTGAGAGCCCGATACTCATAGAATGGGCCTCCCCCTCGAAGTTTACATCTAGAATCTTCAATACGCTTGTTGCGACTATACGGCTTACTTGGCCTAAACATTAGTAGGTTGATAAGAGTGGAAGCTACAAAGATTATTACGATGCACATGCCTATATTCTATATTGTATGTAACAATTCAGTACATTGTAATGCTTGGATAATTGCTGCCATCTGGAACTGCCTTTTTGCTTGCATAACTATGTAAACTTGTCAAGTGCTAATAATGGATTTTAATGGAAAGATACTAATCGTTGAGAACTCAGTATAAAGTTCCCTTGTATGTTTATAATTTAATAAAAAAATTATATGGAAAAAAAACCAAACAAACAAAAGGTCAAACATTAAGGTCAAGCTTGTCATGAAAATTAAACAAATCCAGCATCGGAAACGTGTTATTGTGTATTACTCCTAGGGCTGCAACCAACTAAATCGATAATAAGAATAGTTGTCATTTTCGGTTTCGGCAGTGCCATTCATTGCAATGGCACAGTAAAAGCGTCTCCCACCCGCAGTGTGATCACCCACACTGGAATGCGAGGTACCGCAATGCCGTGCCTTCCAGTGCAGTGATTTCAAAATATTGTGCATGCAGTTTTATTCTTTTGTAACTGCATTTTAGTTAAAATGAAGAACGGTATTTAATTATTTGTATCCAATTGATCAAAACAATAATAGACCAACTAATAGATTATGAAAACAATCATTAGTTGCAGCCCTAAATACTGCAACATGATTGGTGTGAATAAGCCCCAGGACTTGGGGCTTCATTTACAAAAATAATGGAAATGTATATATATGATGGAGATTCCTATACTTGTCAGTGCGATCTGGGTGTGCGAGTGTCCTATAAATAAAGCCCTTGGTGTTGGAGGTGCGCAGAGTCTAATGCTGACATGGGGAAAAAAAAAGTCAAGCCCTGTACACAGTCTGGGCCTAGGATCCAGGGTCTAACCTAGGTACTAGAAACTCATCTAAAAGACAACAGGGTACCTGCATTGGTTCACGAAGAACAAACAAAATTTAAACAGAAGATGCAACTTTTGCAAGCAAAGTCCTTCTCTGGTTTTATTGTGTGAGTTTTCCAACCTGATAAGCCCTGTAGATTGTGCAGACCAGGTATAAAGAATAATGCTCAAAAGTAATACAAATA